TTGTTAGGTAGTCCATATTAGAGGTAGTCGAGATCTGTGTGTTATATGATGATTGAATCTCTGAGACTGCCGAACTAAATAACTAAATGTTTTTGTTTGTTTTAATCTTTGGAATTGTTTGAGGACAAGCAATAATTCAAGTTTGGGGGTATTTGATATTCTTATATTTTACCTATTTATTATATCCATAATTTGTGATTTTTGTAATATATTTTGAGTACAAATATGCTATTTATATGATTTTATCTTTAATTATAGGAATTGTACTCAAATGGAGGAATTGTTGAAATTTTGGGCTAAAATGAAGATAAAAGAAACTCAAATGGAGAATTGAAGATTTGATAAATTGAGAAGGAAGAAACTGAAGAACTTGAAGAGTTAGAGGAGTTTTAATTTAAATTGGCTTGAAAAAAAAATAACTTTCTTATTCCTGAAGAAATATGATTTGACAAAAGCCTATAAAAAGAGGATTATGGTTTTATTTTTGGGGGAGGGACTTAATCAAAAACCAACTACATCACACCACTCTGCTTTTCCCCCTGCCGACCTCCACCTTCTTCACCACCTTAATCATCATCATCCCCCACCGCCGCTCCATCACCTTTCCTCCAAACCCATGCAACACACCAACCCCCCGCCGCACCAAACTACCTCCAACACCCATCACCCTTGCTTCCATTCACCTTAATCACCATCATCAACTCACCGACGCAACTCCACGCAGCCCTACTCCAACTCCAAAACTCACGCCTCCATCATTCTTTACGCACATCATCATCAATAGAGGAAGCAAGCAGCAACACATCAACCTCGACTCAATTTTGCGACTTCTCTCTCTCGGGTTTCATTGTTTTATTTATTTTTGAGATGATGTGTAGCTAAATTATTTAATCTAGAGTTTTGAATGTAGCCGCCGTACTATTTAATTTAATTTAAGTTATGATTGTGACTTTTTCATTAATTAATATTTATTATTCTTGTTTTTCATCCATGTGAATACATGATCAATATTTGCATGCTTTAAGGTGCTAGCTCAAGTAGCGAGAGTCGAAGGCCAGTATTAGTTTGTAGGAATAATAAACTTAGGTAGTGAGCTACAAGAGTAGGAACACCGCCTTTGCGACTAGTAATTTCAAAATTCTTAATGTGCTTTTATTAATCCCTATAGAGTAGTCATAGGGTTAGTTTAAGTAAGAGGGTTATGACACGAGAGTGTATAATTCTTAAATTGGTGAATTGTCGTGAGATTAATGAGAGTCGAAAGTCACATATCTATAGATTAAATTAAACTGAATAGTCGGTTGGTGAACCCTTTTGCCCTAGGTTTTTCTTTAACTTATTTATATCTTTAAATAATTGTAATTGTTAGTTATAGGTTTAGAATAGTTTGAAATTGATAAATTATTAATCTAAATAATAATAAGAAATAATTTTAACCTGGTACTTGGTAACCTTCTTTGTAGGATCGACCCTGCTTGCTACTTTACTACTAGTAATTGTATTAAGTAGGTAATTAATATTTGACTAGTGTGACGACGACTTGTACATATACAAAGAGTGAATTCGGATTGGCTAATTGATTCAACTGAAAATGCATCCGAATTCATAGGTTTCAAATAAAGGCCAATATATGTCATTTATCGATATAATTTAATTTTTTCGATAAAGTTGAACTCAAATCATTCATATAAATCAATTACAATCCGGCCATGATGATAAGAATCCTCATAATACTTTCTAATTATGTGCAAGCATTTATTTAAAAATATAATTTATTTTCAAATTATTGTTTGTTATGGTTTAAAATAATATTTTAACCTTATCTTTACTTATCATAATCGATGATTAATGAAAAACGTATATTTTCCTAGATTATCAAGTAGTCTATTCCAAAATTTGAAATCATTAATTATGCAACAAAATCAATGACCAAACGATGTAAATATTAATCAATGACATATTTGGTTTAAATCTTAGTTGACATAATTTGAAATTTAAAAAGTTCTCTTTAATCTTTACCCCATCCTAATTCTCTTCCCACTATATATATCTGTGTTACCATCCCACCAACCAAAGCATGAGGATAAAAAAAAAAAAAATCATCACTACAAAATAATTTTCAAATTTTTATTTTGAATTTTACAATAGTTTACTAGCATAGAAGAAATTGAGATCTTTAATAATTTTTCACCAGCAAACAGCAAGGTTATAGACGATTTACAAAAAATAACTACACAACAATCTTTTTATGTTGGTCCTACCTCATTTGATACAGTAATATGTATAACAATTAATTTCTTTTTCTTCACATACTTGAGTTTAAAGGACTTTTCGTTGCTTTCATAACTTAATGTACTTTTTATTAGTATTATTTCTTTTCAAACTATTAGTAAATTTCTACAATTTTTTTCATAAAAATATTTATTCTTACCCGCAACATCTAGTTACGTACTATGAAAATTTGCAGAATCTACTTCGTTGTAAGAAAGATAATTTAATTTACAATTCGTGAATCATACAATTATGATATAAATCATTCTTATTTGTCAGATGGAGTATTTAATTGGTTATTAAATTGATGACAGTTCACCGGTTTTATTTATTTAATTTTTTTGGGTACAAAGTTCACCAATTCTATTTTTTTTTTTTTTTTTTGAAAATCAAGTTCACCAAAAATTTTAAATCAACTAATCGATAAAGCTTTAAATATCATGTCAGGTTAGGTGGCTGGCACTGACTTTACCAAGAATAGTAGTGGTTAACAGTGACGAATGTAAATTAAATATTTGAGATTGAATTCATAATAGACATTTCTTGTAAGAATTAATCAAAAAAGCATCTGGTAAAATTCAAACAAACTACAAACGCTATATTGTCTTGTTTCATGACGTTCTAAACCATATTTTATAACTAAATCAATCCATTGTTCATCAAGTCAACTGTGAGTGAAGAAGCAGATAGAACAGAACATAGTTCTTAGAGAATATAGAAATTGTTATACTGTCCTGTCCACGTAGTTAGAGCGTTATACCTATAACTAAGAATATGAGGGTTCGACTGTTATTATGAATATCAATAAAAGACAGTTGAAGGAGGAAATAGATATCTAACCAATAACAAAGTAAAGCATGAATGAAATTCGCCATCATTGACTACAGAGAATCGGATATACCTAGCAAGAGACACACGGAAAAAAATCTTTTTAGTACTAACTCATTTTCCAGTATACTGTTCTCTTACTATAATAATTTAAATACTTCTAAACCAGCAATAGCCAATAGGTGCTACCTATCGAAAACAGGACTTAAAACTTAAAAGTATGCTGAAATGGTCAAGGAAACATTTACGTGGGATGGAGTAATATAATTTTGAGTTTGAATTAGGGACGGCATCGCTGACAAGAACGTGATAAGGTGCATAAGACAAACAATCCATATATATATATATATATATATATATATATATATTTTCTTTTTAGACAGAGGAGTGAGAGGAAGTCAGTCCCGACAATCCAAAGATAAAATAATTAAAACAGTACGTAACGCATACCATTTGCCCGGTTCCTCCCACCAACCTCAATAATGAATATCCTAACCCGGTTCCTCCCACCAACCTCAATAATGAATATCCTAACTATGCGTTTAGGGCGCTGTTTCCTCTCTCTCCCCCCCCCCAAGAACAGGGATATTCATATCATATGATATCCAATGTATCAATCTGCTCCTTGGACTTGCTACTAAATGGTTTTCCCCACTTCGGAAAAGTACTTCTTCTTTTTGTGAATGTTAATGCCATTGTTCAGACAGTGCAACAAATTCCAACAAACTAGCACCAAGTTTTCTTGAAAGATGTTCATGATCAATTCCGTCTAATTTGATTTAGAAGTTATTTATTACTTTCGATTTCTAAATGTTAGTCACTTTAGATGTTGCACATAAACTAAAAATACAATCATCCAACAATTAATTTATGTGTTAAATATTTATTTTACCCTTCATTAATTAAGTTAAAACTATAAACAAAACTAAATGAAAATATATTAATATTATTTATTGAGGATAAAGTTGAAAAAATAGTCATTAATTTGCCTAAAATTTATAAAACAACCTGTATTTTGAAAAATATCTCCAAACCTAAAAGGACTTAAAAATTGAAATGGAGAGAATTATAGAATTGAAATATCCAGCTGGTTAATCATCGTCGTTTGAAAACTATTTTGATGTATTCTGATTGTGAAGGAAACGAAGTTTTCTTTTTTAAAATAAAAAATGAAAACAGTTAATACAAATAAAAAGGATAAAGAGGAACACAGAAACAATATTATTTTTTTTGGAAGCGGATGGTTGGGGTGCAAATTCTGGTAGCAGTCACCAAAACATGAACTATGTTTGTTTCTTTTAATTTATTTCTAACAATTAATATTAGGTCCGTGCGTTGCACGGAATATATTAATATTCATTATTAAAATAATTATTAGTTTTTGAAAAAATATTATACTCAATTGACGGTTAATTTTGAAGTATAATGTAAAGAAAAACACATTATACAAACAATAAATGAACAGTAAAAAATAAGGTTAAAAAAATTATGTAAAAATTAAGTGATTATTATTAATTTCTTTGACCTTAAATATAAAAAAATATTTTATTTGAATTTTTCTCATAATTTTACACGTGAATTTTTTTTTTCTCATAAGTGACCAAAATCGACACTTTTCCGTTGTTTAATGATTATTTTTGAAAATTTTTTTTACAGTGTTTAAAATTGACACTTTTCGATTGTTTAGTGATATTTTTGGTACTTGATATTTCAATAAATATTCCAAATAATTTTTTTCTAACCACTATTCAAATAACGTTTTGCTAAAAATACTATCCAAACAACTTTTTAATCTTTCATTATGTTTTTCACGTAAAACACTTTCCACATTCTAGTCCAAAATGAAAAACGTCCAAACAATCACATAACGTCTTATTTCATTTGTTAGCCTCCACGTTTCCCTCTCCCCGTGGAGGCGAAATCTTACAATATTTAATCAAGACATGGTTTGAAAGACTTCCTATTGTACTCAAGGAAAGAGAAAAAAAAAGAACAAGAAAAAAAAAAAAAAAGAGGGCCGCCGGCAAAAGAAAAGAAGATGTCAGTCCCCGATGCAGCGGTGAATTCCCTCTTGCAAAACCTTAGCCAAGTTTGTACGATTCACCGGGATTTTTTGGAGAGCAACAATAAGGATATTATTTCATCTCTGGTTAGAGAGCTTCGGACTCTGAAAGGCGTCTTGGGAGATTTCGTAAAATATGGTGACGGTCCTGACGGCAATGAACAATTCAAGGAATTGATGAAGGAGACTCGATCAATAGTTAATGAAGTTGAAGATGAAGTGGACAGATTCATAGCTATGTCAACGGAACAAAAATCAAGAACAATCTCCAAAGTCCTCCACAGCATCAGTGGTTATACGGTAGCGAATCGGAAAGCCGCGAAAACGATCCAAGATCTTGGTGATAAACTTAGAAACTTTATTGAGGTATCACTCAAGAATGCTTACAGTTTGGTGCAACATCAGGCGGTGGTCCATGAGCTTGGCCGTCAAAGGACTAATAAGGTAAAACTGCAACTCCCATGAAAAGAAGTATTTACTTTTTTTTTTAATTATAATTTTTTCCTTTCCCTCATTGTTCTGGTGCTAAGTGCGTCATTTATTATTTATAGATCCTGTTTGATAAATTCATTCAACGTACGAACTTAATTGATGAGATGTATAATGATGTGATCTCATAACTGTTTCATTGATTAATGACTGAATTTCTTAACTGAGTTTGATAACTAAAAGTAGAATGCTTTAATAAATTGAGTGACTTTGAAATTCTAGTACAAATGTGAATTTAAAAATAAGTGATGAACATACCAGTTATTAGTGAGCTGAATTCTTAAAATATTGTTTATATTTTTGATGTTTTATCTTTTGTTCATTTCTAATAATCTTAGTGTTTATTTCTAAATTAGAACAAATTACTTTTTATTAATATTTATATATTGGTGTTCATTTTATGTAAAAAATTAAAATGCGAATAAGACCATCATAAATATATATATTTTTACGATACCAATATGCTATTATTATTTACAGGGTCATTATATTACAAATTTTGCTGAGTCGACTGACGGTTAAAATTCAGCCTATAAAAAAAATTGATGACTTTCCTTCCACTCATGTTGATTTTTTCCAAATACGAGAGTAATTTTCTCGATCAAATGGTTTGACTTTAGTTGTGGCCGATGTCCTATAAACATACTCAGCTTCAACTGATCAAGAATGAGCCAACACAGGTTGCTTTCTGGAATTTCATGAATAGACTCTACCAGGGGCAGAGGCACATATTGTAGACAGAATAGGGCGACCTCCTAACGAAAATCTCCTCAACTGCCCCTAAGATTTCAAATTTTTTTAAAAGGTTATTACCAACAAAATAAAAGAGGCAAAGATCAAGGAAAACTCTATAGAATCGTTTGTACCCTAGTCCTTATTATAAGCCATTTTGATTTATCATAAGTTTTACCTAATATATTTTTCTAATTGAAAAAATAAACTTAAAAATTATTTCTTAATAATTAGGGGAACACAATGAATATGAAAATATAGTTTTAAGGTTTTTTTTCTGAATCAAAAGAATATGTTAAGTGAAACTAATACAAATCAAAATACCTTATATTAAGGACCAAAGGGAGTATTGTATAAGAACAACATCTGTAACCAATTAAAAAAAACAGGCACACGACTATGTACAGTTTTGGCAATTTGTTACCCATGCTAATGTTTGTGCAGTTGTTTAAAGACAATAGACTATAAATCATATACAAATAATGTTATGGCAGAAAGGGCATAAACATAACATACTACGGAAGCGAACCCCAAGAAAATCTCCTTTCCTACTATCAATAAAATAGGATAACCAAACAAGTAAAATAATTCAAGAACTGATAAAATAAAGGAGGCACACGAATTTACGTGGAAACCCAAATTGGAAAAAATCACGTGACTGTAACCACAGTCAAATCTCCACTATTACAATAATGGGAAACAGTCTTCACCAACCGGTGGATACACAGGACTTCACCCAAAGGTGGATTACAAATTTACTCTTCCAAACACACCTATCACAAAGTAGGATTAGAAGGATCTCACCAAAAGAGAGCTAAACCGAAAACTAAACCGGAGGATTTGTAGATCTTGTTGAGAGGAACACACATGCAAACTTGCACCAATAACTCACTCTGTTTCGTCACCCGATCAAATCCTTAAAGTGAAACACTTTCTTCTCCCAAATTAATGACCCAAAAACCCTAGTTTCCTTTCTCTCTTTCTCTCGCACAAAACTATTGCGGCTGCCCAAATTTTCACACACCCCAAATTGTGCTCGGCTGCTCTCCTTTTATAGAAGAAAAAAACAAAACCCAAAATCAAGTGGGTTTTTGTTTCCCTCGGTCAAAACCAAAAACAAATCCCAATTGGATTTTGACTTCAACTTTCGTTGGGCTCAAGTGAGGGGAACCAGCCCAACAATCTCCCCCTTCACCTCAATTGGAGGGTAAAACCAAACCCGCTTTCCATATACAGAACAGAAGCTTCTCTCTACTCACAGTCTTCGTCAACATATCGGCACCGTTGTCATCCGTATGGATCTTCTCAAGAAACAACGCCTTGGACTCCAACACATCCCGGATCCAATGATATCTCACATCAATATGTTTTGACCACGAATGAAATGTGGAATTCTTAGCTAAGTGAATAGCGCTCTGGCTATCACAATAAATCACATACCTCTCTTGCTTCATGCCAAGCTCTTGTAGAAACTTCTGCAACCAAAGTACTTCCTTATAAGATTCAGTAGCTGCAATAAACTCTGCCTTTGTAGTAGATAAAGCAACACACTTCTACAACCTACTCTGCCATGAAACTGCTCCCCCTCCATAAGTCATTAAGTAACCAGAAGTAGACTTCCGACCATCAAGGTCACCTGCTATGTCAGCATCTGTATATCCATCCAACATGGTCTTCCCATTGCCAAAGCAAAGACTCATTCTGGAAGTACCCTTAAGATACCTGGGAATCCATTTCACAGCATTCCAATGTTCTTTATCGGGATTGGAGAGAAACCGACTAACAATACCAACTGTATGAGCTATGTCTGGCCTTGTGCAAACCATCGCATACATCAGGTTGCCAACTGCCGAAGCATAAGGAACCTTTTTCATCTCTTCCTTATCTTTCTCACTTTTAGGACACTACGTTTTGCTTAGCTTAAAATACCCCGCAAGTAGAGTCGAGACTTCCTTAGCACCGCTCATGTTAAACCTATCAAGAACCTTCTCGATATACTTCTCTTGAGATACCCAAAGTTTCACATTCTGTCTGTCACGAGAAATCTTCATCCCAAGGATCTGTCTAGTCGGACCCAAATCCTTCATCGCAAAGGACTTATTCAACTCCTTTTTCAACCTGGCAATCTTTGCAGTATCATGACCAACAATCAACATGTTATCGACATAAAGCAAAAGAATTATAAAATCACCATCAGAGAATTTCTTCACAAACACACAGTGATCGGCTGTAGTCCTTTGGTATCCCTGCCCTATCATAAGCGCATCAAACTTCTTGTACCACTACCTCGGAGCTTGCTTCAACCCATACAAGCTTTTATTGAGACGACATACAAGCTTCTCTTTCCCGTTCTCCTGAAACCCATCTGGTTGCTCCATGTAAATCTCTTCTTCCAAATCACCACGTAAGAAGGATGTCTTCCCATCAAGCTATTCAATCTCAAGACATCTTTACAACAGGAGAGAATATCTCATCAAAGTCTACGCCCTTTCTCTGATTGAATCCCTTCACAACCAATCTAACTTTGAACCTTGGTTGCGAGCTGTTCTCACTTATTTTCAGTCTAAACACCCATTTATTCTTGAGGGCTCTCTTGCCCTTAGGCAGCTTCACCAAGTCATACGTGTTATTCTCATACAAGAATTTGATCTCATCTTGCATGCTGCTAACCACTATTTTTTCTGCTCATGACTGAGAACCTCTTCATACAACTCTGGTTCTCCCCCATCAGTAAGCAATAAATACTCATTAGCACTGTACCTGTTGGAAGGTTTCTTGTCTCTGGTGGACCTCCTAGGATGAACAGGAGGCGATGAAACCAGTGGTGTCTCTGTTTCAGTAGCAGGATCATCATCAAACTCACCATCATGCTCTGTCTCAGCTTCCCCTTCAGGAGAATCATCTGATTGTGGAGGAACTAGATCTAGATCAACAGGAATCTCAGGTGAAGATTCTGGCATCTCGCCCTTTCCCATATCATCAATGGTCTGGTCTTCAAAGAAGATCACATCTTTGCTTTTGAAAACTTTCTTCTCTACAAGATCCCAAAGTCTGTACCCAAAATCATCATTGCCATACCCCAAGAATATACACTCCTTAGATTTTCCATCAAGTTTCGACCTTTCGTCTTTGGGAATATGAACAAAGGTACGACAAGCGAAAACTCGCAAATGTCCAAATGAGACATCTTTCCCTGTCCAAACTCGTTGTGGTAGATCACCATCCAACGGAACTGAGGGAGATAGGTTGATCAAATCAACTGCTAGTTGTATGGCTTCACCCAAAAAAGATTTAGGTAGCTTTGCATTGAAGATCATACACATAACCTTTTCGGTAATAGTTTTGTTCATTCTTTCTGCCATGCCATTCTGTTGTGGAGTCTTCGGCACACTTCTGAAGTTTAATGCCATGGTCTCGGCAATACTTCTGAAACGGACCTCTGTACTCACCACCATTATCTGCTCGAACACACTTCAACTTCTTGCCAGTCTCTCGTTCAATTCTAAGGTGAAAGTCTTTGAACACATCTAATATCTGATCTTTAGATTTCAAAGAAAAACACCAAACCTTTCGAGCATAGTCATCAATGAAATTAACAAAGTACAATGCTCCACCTAACGACCTGTCTTTCATGTAACACACATCTGTATGAACTAACTCTAGAGGACTGGACTTTCTAAATGGAGGAGAATTTTGAAAGGAAACCCTATGCTGTTTACATAGATACAGTCAACACAAGGTTTTAGAGCAGTACCTTTCACCTCAGGGAGAAATTGCTTTTTACCAAGAATCTGGAGTCCCTTGACACTAATGTGTCCAAGCCTTCTGTGCCAGAGATCAATGGAGGCATTGTAAGTTGCATTCACCTCTCCATTCTTCAACTTTGCATTCAACACATACAAAGAGTTCAACTTCTTTCCTCTAGCAATAACAAGATCCCCTCTGGTAATTATCCAACGGCCACTACCTTCAGTGCTACGATAACCCTCATCATTAAGTTTTCCAACGGAAATAAGGTTCAGACACATATCCGGAACATGACTGACATTCTTCAAGACAAGAGTACAACCTGTATTCGTTACCAATGATACCTCCCCCATGCTGACAAACATCGCGTGAGGCTTGATTGCCCATTCGTACACGGTCAAATCCTCCAGGTGTGTAAGAGGTAAAGAAGTGTCTTTGAGGCGTCACATGATAAGACACACATGAATCACCGAACCAATCATTGTCGTGACTCGCAACATTAATTGTATCATCATCACAGTACACAAATACATCACTGGTAGTTACTACTGCAGTAGTGTCATCATCCCTTCATTCGTCCTTCTTGCCTTTACCTTTTCTCGCTGCTAGTTCTCTCATGAGAACTCTGCACTCCCTCTTAAAGTGCCCATTCCCTTGACAATGGTAGCACACGACATCTTTCTTGGATTTAGACCGTCTTCTAGACTTGTCATTCCGATCACGTAGCCCTCTGCTTTTACTTCTTCTATCTGACTTTTCTGTCACCAGAGCCTGCGACTCAGACTCAGTACTCTGCTCTTTTCTTCTGACTTCTTCATTCATCAAAGCCTCTTTGACCTGATCCAAGGTCAAGACACCATCCTGGGTTGAATTACTAATTGACACTACAAAAGTGTCCCAACTGTCTGGTAGAGAACTAAACAATAACAAAGCATGCACCTCATCATCCAACTTTAAACTTACATTCACTGCCTGGTTCAACAAACCCTGAAACGAACTCAATTGCTCATTCATGCTAGCACCATCTTTCTACCTCAACTTGGTAATCTGTTTCAGCGCAGATGACTTATTGATGCCGGACTTCTTCCAGTACATATTCTGGATTTTCTCCCAAAGTTCATCAGCTTTTGTTTCTCCTGAAAAGTGATGAAACACACTTTGATCAATCCACTGTCGAATATTACTAACAGTTTTCCTGTGCATATCAACCCACTTTTGATCAGTCATATCACTTGGCCTACCTTCATCCGTTAGAATAGGATCAAACAAATCTTTGCAATACAACAAATCTTCCATTCTAGGCTTCCACATATGATAATTGGATGAAGTCAATTTAATCATCGTACCAGTACCCAATGACTCTTCCATTTTATTGGTGTAACACCTCAATTACCGAACCGTAGCTCTGATACCACTGTTGTGGCGGAAAGGGCATAAACACAACACACTACGGAAGTGAATCCGAAGAAAATCTCCTTTCCTACTACCAATAAAATAGGACTAAACAAGCAAAATAATTCAAGAACTGATAAAATAAAGGAGGCACACGAATTTACGTGGAAACCCAAATCGGAAAAAATCACGAGACTGTAACCACAGTCAAATCTCCACTATCACAATAATAGAAAACAGTCTTCACCAACTGGTGGATACACAGGACTTCACCCAAAGGTGGATTACAACAATACTCTTCCAAACACACCTATCACAAAGTAGGATTAGAAGGATCTCACCAAAAGAGAGCTAAACCAAAAACTAAACCGGAAGATTTGTAGATCTTGTTGAGAGGAACACACATGCAAACTTGCACCAATAACTCACTCTGTTTCGTCACCCGATCAAAGTCTTAAAGTGAAACACTTTCTTCTCCCAAATTAATGACCCAAAAACCCTAGTTTCCTTTCTCTCTTTTCTCGCACAAAACTAGTGCGGGTGCCCAAATTTTCACACACCCCAAATTGTGCTCGGTTGCCCTCCTTTTATAGAAAAAAAAAAACAAAACCCAAAACCAAGTGGGTTTTTGTTTCCCTCGGTCAAAAGGCAAAACAAATCCCAATTGGATTTTGACTTCAACTTTCGTTGGGTCCAAGTGAGGGGAACTAGCCCAACAAATAAATCACATACAACACTCTCACCAATGATTTTCAAATTATACATGTATAATTTTGCTTCAACCAAAACACCAAAATACCAAAACACTAAATCTTAGTGTATAGTTTGCACTTCAACAAAGATACATATCACTGCACTATTTTAGTGTGATGAATAATATTATGTTAGATTTGGTTTAAATTGTTCATTACATTATTTTTAATGCATTATCGTTTTATTTTTATCGAAATATATGTTTACTGTGTAATTAAACTCGTAAAAATGAATTATGTTGTAAAAATTATGTCACATTAAATATTTCGTTGACATCAAAATAAGATATATATTGAAATTATAATTTATTTTTTAAAAACATTAATTTTAGTTATTATTAAAATTGAATATTAAAATAATATTAAAAAATATATAATTTTACAATCAAATACAAAGCGACTACAAGAAATAAATTTTACCAAAAATTATCAAGAAATTACAAGATTTTAATTAATCGCAAAAATAAAATTTAAACTAAAATTTAATAATTAGACCATTTGGTGCATCAAAGTTGGAGTGTAAAGAACTTTAGTGTAATATGCTTGGAATATTCTATTTCAGCATTAAATTTTGTACAAATTATAGTGCAATGCAGAATACTAAATTTGGTGTTATGGTGTAAATTTTGCACTCTAACAAAAACACTAAATCAATACATTATTTTGGTGTAATGAATAGCATTGCACCAAATTTTGTGTGAATTCTCTATTACACTATTTCTAGTGCATTACTCTTTTATTTTGATCTAAATATATATTTGCAATGTATTAAAATTGTAAAACAAATTATGTTTTGAAAATTATATCATGTTAATTAACTATTTTGTTGAGATCTTCAAAATAAGAGTTTTATTGAATATATATATATATTATTTTTAAAAAATATATTTTCAGTTATTATTAAAATTGAATATGAACAAAATTTTTAAAAAATGTACAATCAAATTAAAAGAGACTATAAGAAACAAATTTCACAAAACTATCACCAAATTACAAGATTTTAACTAACCACCAAAAATAAAATTTAAACTAAAACATTTAATATTTGTAGTTTTTGATACATTAAGATTGGAGTGCAAAGAACTTTGATGTAAAAAAATATTTAAAATATTTTATTTTTGCACATGGTACAAATTATAGTGCAATTGTTAGTAATGCTCTAAGACCATGGCTTAAATGTAATACGCATAGATTTTATTTTATTTTATTTTTTTAACAAAGGTACTTTTACCTTCATGATTTCAATGTTACTGTATAGTATACATGCTCCACTTCTTCGGATTTTCATCATAGGTGTAGAGCCTGGTTTAGTTGCGTGAACCTGGTTTTCTTGTACTAGGTGAGTGAAAGACATTTCCTTGCCTTTCTTCTTACCAAGTTACATCTTCGTTGCTGCTTTCTAGTCTAATTGATTTCGTCCTTTTCTGTTGAGCTTGAAAAACAAACGTAACTTTACCCAAGGAAATTTTTGTTTTTGTCTTTTGAATCTCAAAAAAAGAGATAATTGAACTCAATTTATTCGAGCCGTTCGGTCTTTCAAAGTATTCCTTCACCGAGAAGGCTGATTTTGTTAACAAATTCCATGAGTCAATCAACACGTTCCTCGATAAACTCATTATCTTCCATCCGTAGAGTTGAACTTCAAATATTTTCTTCACATATATTCTTTGGTCATTCAAGCCACATCTCCTTCATCTAATCCCAAGTTTCTTTTGGAATTCCACAAGCCATAATTCTTGTGCAATTGTACTCCAAAACAGTAGCACGAATGAAAGACTAAACTCTTGACACATTGGCTTCTTTTTCTTCTTCGCGAGTCCTGATTGTTTTCCAAAGATGGTACTCTCCGTTTCCTCTCCGTCTCAACCCATTGCTATAAGCTGAGACCTCTCGAATGAGCTATTATCTTGATAATCCACAATTGATCGTTCTTCACCAATAAAAGGGGTGTCAGTTGTAAAGGGTTACATATCCGTATGATGTTAAAAGACAAATTTATGTGGTTACCTGGATGGACGCCTGACTTGCTTAAAGATTTTTTTTAGCGCTTGTTACTATGTACATAGTCTTAAAACACAAAATTCATTATTTGCCGAGAAAAGCAACCAAAATAAAAAAGAAGTGAAGAGGTGATTTTACAGCTGAGAAAATGCACACAAACTTCATTCATAAAAGTGATTTAACTTGCAGTATACAAAAGAATGTACTTCATATCGTAAGGTCGATGTATAAAACAGTACAATTATCCTAGATTTCTGTGGAGAAAATTCCACAAACAATCTTCAACACAAGTATTACAACTTCCATACTTCTTGAAAGTTAGCTTACAGTAAAAAATTAAACTGAACACAACAAAAAGATCAGAAATCATTTATCAAGTGTAAAACCTTCGATAGTCCATGGACTCCTTTCCAGCGAGTGTGTGTGTGTGTATTCTGATTAAAGCTTTTTTTGTGATGCATCTCTCATAATGAGCCATATGCTTTTAGTCTTTTACTCATCTTATTTGGTTATACCCTTCATAGTGTTATATCTTATGCTTTTACTATTGATCAAAAGAAAATTGTGAAAATGATTCTCAAATAGCGCCAGTTCTAAAAGATCTACTTGTTTCGCTAGCAGACATATACATCCAATAAGTAAGACCTTTTTTCCTTCTCTTATACTGAAAAGGTTTTCAAAGTCGAGGAAGATCACGTCATTGGTTTTGATGAAGCGGGTGAAGAGGTGAGGCAACTTCTAACCGAAGGTTCAGAACAACTTGAAGTGATCTCCATAGTTGGAATGGTGGGACTTGGAAAGACTACACTAGCTAGAATGGCGTACAAAGATCCAGTTGTGGATTATCAGTTTATGATCAGGGCCTTCATCCGTATATCGAAAGAATTTGATAGGAGGGAAGTTTACCTTGAGATTTTAAAGTCTATTATGAAAATCAGTGATGAAGTAACTACTATGTCGGGAGATCATTTGGAAGAACTTCTTTGCCAGAGATTAGAAGGGAGACAATATCTGATTGTACTGGATGATGTTTGGGAGAAAAGAGATTGGGATATGCTCAAATCCGCCTTTCCAAAGAACAATAGACGTTGCAGAGTTCTAATAACAACTCGAAACACAGAAGTGGCGAATTACGCGAATGCAAGGATTTATAAATTGGGATTTCTTAAACTAGATCATAGTCGAGAGTTACTTCGTTGGAGAGTTTTTCATCAAGACAGTCTTCCTCAAGAGTTAGAGATGTACGAGATGGAAATCGTCATGAAATGTGACGGGTTACCATTGTCACTAGTGGTTGTTGCTGGCATACTTCTGAACCATCGAGATAGGTCGGATTGGTGGAAACATGTTGCAAATAGTGTGTCCGAGCTCATTGCAAAGGATCACACGCAAAGTACCCAGTTAATAGAACTAACCTACAAGCACTTACCTAACCACTTGAAACCTTGTTTTCTCTATCTTGGTCTCTTCATGGAAGACTTTGAAATTCCTGTGTGGAAACTAGTGCGATTATGGATTGCTGAAGGACTCATATCAGAAGAGGACGGAGGTACTCTTAGCTTAGAGACTCTGGCTAAATCCTACTTGGAAGAGCTGATTAGCAGAAATCTAGTGATGGTCGGACGAAGGAGGTCAAATGAAGAAATCAAAACTTGTCGCATTCAAAACACAGTAAAGGAATTCTGCAAGAAAACAGCCATGGAAGAAAACATTTTCCAGGAAATCAAGAATCCATCAATGTTTTCTGACCAGTTTCGTCGAATTTGCATCACCGACGTCGGCGTTTTGAAGCAGCTCTCTTCAAATCCTTCTGGAAGCCGCGCCCGCTCAATCTTATTTTGCAGTCACGATGAGAGTCCTGCTGAAGAAAAAATTGGTTCTGCTATCCCTAAAAGCTTCCAGCTTCTGAAGGTATTAGAGTGCGACTCTCTCGTCTTTACTCGTTTTCCACTTGCCCTAACTCGTCTTGTTCTTTTAAAATACATATCGATATCATCCCGTTCTTCAGTTATCCCTGCTTCATTGTCAGCCTTGCGTTACATGCAAACTCTTATAGTAAAAACAATCTCTCCTACCCTCGAAATCAAAGTAGATGTATGGGAATTGCCAGAATTTAGGCATTTGCATACCAACGCATCCACCATGTTACCATATCCTAGTAAAGAGAAACAGAATGAGACTGACAAGAACATCCAAACTCTGTCTACCATCTCCACTGAACTTTGCAGAAAAGAAGTTTTTGATCGGACTCCCAACCTGAAGAAATTAAGTATTGGTGGGACATTAGCAGAATTGTTTGTGGTCCAAGGCGAGTCGAGTTTCTTCGACTCTCTTTCCCGTTTGGAGAGGTTGGAAAATCTGAAGTTACTGAATGACAAAGTGTCCCGGAGGTTGTCCAGCCTTCCTTCTCCAATAACCTTCCCACCATGGTTAAGAGAGCTCACTCTGTCAAACACCAACTTGGAATGGAAAGAAATGACTGTCTTAGGCAAGCTGGAGAAACTTGAAGTTCTCAAGTTAAAGGAGTTTGCATTCCGTGGAAATTTTTGGGAGACCGAAAAGGGGGGTTTCCGCTGTCTTAATTTCTTGCGAATTGGACAGACAGACTTACTGATATGGAAGGTATCATCGGATGATTTCCCGCGAATCAGGACGATTGAACTCGTGGGCTGCGACAAGCTTCAGGGTCTTCCACCCAGCCTGGCAGATATTCCCACCTTCCAATCGCTAAGACTGAATTGTACAAATCCTCAGGTGGCTTCTTCTGCTAGGAGACTTCATGTGTTGAAGCTAAAAGAAGGAGCTAGGAAACAAGGAGGCAGCAACTTTAAGCTCTCCATTTACCCTCCAGACTATTAAGCGTCACAAAAATCCATGATTTGGCACTTCTTTGCCAGGTGAGTTATTTTTTTTATTCCAATTATCCATTTTCTCTACTGTTTCGATTAGCGCCTTACCTGAGCTCTAACAGTTTGGTTTCGGCTTCAAACTTCTATTTTCTTTCCGGTTTTGGCCATATTCAGATTGTTCTTTGTGTCTGAAATAAAGAAGTCCGGTAATGTACGCATTTGGCTGGATGAGACGCACTAGGAATGCGGACTGTTCTTCGACTTGTTTTGCTGAAATCATTCAATATGTTGGCTTGGTCAGTTCAAGATGAAACCACCATTTCATCTCGGAACCAAAGTGGTGTGTTTTTTCCTTCCTTCTTTGGTATTTTCACAAAAGAAGATTCAACCATTTTGAGAGGAATAATTTCAACTTTATCCATTTATTATCTATCCGCATCTCTGTATAACATACAGAATGCCTGAATGCTGGATAAGACAGAGAGGATTGCTCTGGCTTGTTCATTTATTTATCCTTCTCAAACTTTAGACAAATCGAATCATTCTGTTTTTTTCTGTGGATGATGTTTCTCGATTATTGTTGTTGTTCATTGATTATATTATGTCTGTCTTTTAAAGCTACAGAAAGCTTGAAATGGAAGAGGAACTATTGAAGAGATTTTCTTCAAATTTTTTATATAAGCAAAGGAAAAAATTGTCAACCTAAAAAGAAAAAGAAAAGAAAGGGAGCAAACAAAAAAAAAAAGGATTGTAGCTGGTCTTGTCGCTAGGATGTCCATAACTTTCATCTCCTTTTCTAGTAAATCTTTTCCCCAGGGGATTCCCTTCAAGCCGGCGACAAGCTAACTTTTTCTGAAGACTCAATGCGTCGAACCCGAAGAGTTAAAAATCATTTTAGTTTGAGCAGGATGAAAAGGGATGTTTATGCCTTCGAAATGACAGTGAGAACTGAAATCATTGGTGGAGAGGACTACTAAAAGGATGAACATCTCAAGTAAAATCTCTGGCTCCCTGATGTGCAGTGATAACCTCTTCCAACAGGTCTTACTCACCATGAGATGTGAGAAAAAATTTGTAACAAAGAGATGTTCTGAAATATTTGTTTTGCTCATTGTAGAGCAGGAACAAAACTGAAAAGGAAAGAATTGGCTGCTTCGTATGCTAAATCAATCTATGAAACTTGGCTTCCTACCAGCAACAAATCAGATTTGACAGAAAACTATGATAACCAAAACTTTTCACATTAGGCTCCTAGCTATAAAGATCTCAGGGAAAGCAATGCATCCAAGGGAAACCAGTCAATTACCACAAAGGCAGTTTTCTACAGTTTTCAATCAAACAGAGTTGCCATAATGTTCATTTATTAAAACATTTCTCCGACCACCACTATTAATAACATCCAATTAACTTAGCTCTTATTTTTTTTTTCCTTTTTGTGCAAAATTATTCTTTAAGTAAACAATGTCGAAACTTACTAAGTAACCTTACTATCCGGAAGATCAAATTGATAATTAAGCATTTGTGGAAAAGTTATTAACTACCTGCACTCTATGCCGTTACGAGAACAAGTCTCCTCCATGTTTACATCAGTTTAATCCATAACACATTGTAAAGTGACTTAAAAACCAACAGAGAAACCAAGGTCAATCACTAAACTCATTAGCACTACAATCACCTAAACCACAAATGTGGACAAGAAAGGTGCTTAATCAACTACGTAAAGTAGAAAGGGCTTTGAGCCTCCGTGGAGAGTAACACCAGTTCCAGATGTTCGAGGCATTGAACTTAGGAGCATTAAGTGTAAATTTGATGCCAATCTGTCCAAGTGAGGGAACATCGTTAATGAAGAAAATGGAGTAATTAATTCATTATAATGTAAAACACTTTAAACAAAAAGGGCAAAAGGAAAAGAAATTAAACAAGAGGCATTCCTTTCTTCATTTATTTTTTTTTTTTTTTTTTGTTTTGGTTCAAAATAGGAGACAAATCCCTGAAACATCAAATTATAACGGATCGTGGATAAGACACTCCAATAAGGTTATGTCCTAACCACGGCTTAACACCTTCATATCGACTGTCTAACCAATATAAACCTACCTCCGGGACTAGAAGGCGAGGCCAGGAAATCTGCTACAAAATTCAAATTGCGAAAATTATGCTTTAGTTCCTCCCAAGACCTCCTTGGTCCCTTGACCATGCCTACGATACTTCAATTCGGCGTTCTTCATCAAACTTGTTGTTTAGCTCAAAACCTTTCTCGAGAATCTTAACTTGTTGGAGTTAACCTTTTCTTCTTTTCATCAGAAGCGGCAAGCAATCCTGACAATCCAATCTTCTCATCATCATACCATGATTAGGAAGCAATGGCGGGTGTTTTCCGGATATCTCAGAAAGGATTTCCTAATCACCGTGCAGAACACGTGCAGATAATTGTGGATCCATCAGAATATAAATAAATACGGAAATCAATATACTCATATATATATATATATATTTGAAAATGAAAATTAACATACTCCTTTTATCCCATTTATTTTAACGTACTTCTATTTATCCCATTTATATAAATAAGAACCTACCTTTCATGTTGCTAAGAAAAAACGTATTTTCCAAAGTGCTATTGGAATGATATGGCATTCTAGATGTGGTCATCATTTATGTATGGCTTTCTTTCAAAAGAAAAAAAAACATCTACCTTCCTTTCATGTTGCTAAGAAAAAACGTATTTTCCAAAGTGCTATTGGAATGATATGGCATTCTAGATGTGGTCATCATTTATGTATGGCTTTCTTTCAAAAGAAAAAAAAACATCTACCTTACTATGTGATTCAATAATTTTACCAATAGCCTACAACATAATTACCATATACATGTAAACTTTAAAGTTTATAAAAAGATCATTTCTCACGGAAACCTCATTGCGGTGAAACACTCCCGTAATACAAGGATCTGAAAACATGGTGCACTCAAAATAAAAAGAGTGAAGTTCAACAATACACTTAGCACGACGAGGTGACCTCATTGCGGGATCTCTTGGCTGCACATATATATATTGGGATGATATTTTCTTAACGTGGAATTCAGCTTATATATATTGGGACACCAGCCACCAGGGAAAATCAAATGAAATTACTAACTTAAAAATTTCTTTTACCCTTTTGGAGTAATTACAAATGAAAGATTGGCACAATTGTTATGACAAACTTTTGCCATTTAATTTAATGTCTTAATTGTGTAGGAAAGAGCATTAATGGAGATACGTTTATACCGACCTTCAGTTGTTTTATTTGGGGAAAACATATAAAAACAAATTTGTTAATGTACAAAACTAATTATGAGTTCTATCAGAAAAAATACAATTGTGCGAACATTGGTCATTCTTTGGGAAAGGAGAAAACTAACTAATTAATGATTTAATTTATTAGATTTCAAAGTCCTCATCAAAGTTAGATGGTGAAGAAATTTAATTTGAATCCTTCAGATTATTTTTTCACAACAATTTCTTTCACAAGAAGAAACTGAGAATACAATAAGTTAAAAGGCACCAATGTGACTGGGTTAGGATACGTTGTAATCATTTTCACTAATCAAATTAAAATAGAAATAAATTCTTCGTTTATAACTAAAACCAAAATATGTGCATGTTATGAGCATGACGAACTTCATTGCCCGTAGTAAATATATTCATTTCTTTTATCAGCAAATCGTTATCTATCTTCTATTGTTTTGTCTAGCCTACATTCAGCCTTACTTTTGTATAAAGTACAACTAAATCGGTTAAATGAGATTTTGAACCATTAAGGATTCTTTGTAAGTTGTAAAAAGCACAAGTAAACTCTAGATAAGAATCCTCCCCATTTGACATAGATACATTTCTTTGTTCTATTGAAGGTCATCCAGTATTTGCTAGGTTTAACATATATAATTCGGACCTAAAATAATCCTTTTTGCGAAAAGCAATGGCGAGGTAGGTTAAACATTCTCCCATACCCTCGGGAAGCGGGAGTCCTTAGGTTACTAAGAATGCAAGATTTATTAACAAGTAATGTTACAAAAGAGCTAATGGTTCTTTTAACAAGTAGGAATATTGCACAATCATCACTATTAGTACAAATTTTAAAATTCAATTTGAAATAATTTTTTGAGATATAATGTATAACTAATGATACATATATGGTAAAATTATATAAAAAAATAACAAGAAATTATCACATCCATTAATTTTTAGCAATATATAGGTTGGGCCAAAACAAAATTGTATGATCGAGACATTGATAACTCGAAAAAGATAAACGGGACACTGAGACTGAGACGACAAGAATGTAATGGGTAAAGAATGAATTATGTCTCATTACATTTCCGTTCCTCGAAGTATGACTGTTGTCGAGTTTAATATCTTTTGATGATCAATGTTGAAATATCATCATTGGATTGATTGATTTGGAACATGATGTTATTGAAACATCTTATTCTCGTAATGTAATGATTTAGTGATTACCATATATTAGCCACCTTCATGGGTAAAAATGTATACATTAATCATTCAGTTGATTAAAAACTAAAGAAGAGAAATGGTAAGTATCGAATATTCCGTACATAGAGTCCATTTGAAACTATGTTTGAACATTCTGTTTCATGCATATATTTATGAAAACTCTATTGTCATTTTTTCCATTCTAAGTTTCATTGACTAGTCTTTAACTTTAATCTGAATTTCAAAGAACAACTATTACCGGAAAATGACCTAATTGAAAACAACTAAATGCATTCTCAGGGAGTCAAATTTTCATCATCGGCCATTGGATTCATTTAGCTCAGTTTTCAAACTTTACAGCTAATAATTTGTGTGGGCTTTTAAACTATTTGAACTGATGGGTTCAATTAATCAACAGACTCTTTTCGGTCACTTTGACTACAAAGTGTGCAACATCTATTATACGTACTACCCATTGACTAATAGGCAAATTATTTATGTAGTAAACTAATTCAAGGGGGGTTATTTTCCACTTCCCTTTCTTAGAGGGATACTATTTAATTGTAAATTTTGTAATAATTCAATCCCTGAAAAAAAGTTTTGGCAGTTAAGTTTTCCAATTCTTTTATCCTAATGTTTATTAGTAGTAGATAAATCTTATCGTCCAGTACAAACTGATTATGTGGAATGGAACGTACACCAGGGTCATATTCCCGTGAAAATCAACAAGCGTACAAAAGTTTGACCATGACTTAAACAAAAGCATACCTAAGCTAACCATAGGTCGACCATGACTTAAACAAAAGCGTACCTAAGCTAACCATAGGTCAACGTCGGTATATTCTATAATAATGGAACATGTTGTGAGTAATTCGTGATTAAATATAAATAACTCCATTATTTATCGTGCGTAATTCGTGGATGAGTTTAAAGGTCAAAGTTTCTTTTGTTTTCTTGTACTATTTAAAATCATGTTTTTGTTTTCTTTTGTTTTCTTGAACTCGGAATCGGAACCAATCTCGAATCATCGTATTTTAATTAAAAGAGAAGAAGGAGATAGAGCTTCCATGTATAATTTATGTAAACAAAAGCCAAATGTTTGATTCAGACAAAGTATTTACTCAGACATTGTCTGAGTACTTCAAACTATAAATTAAAACAAACTTAAAGAAAAAATTACCTTTAAAAACTTCTTCTATTCTTCAAACTTGCAGGATATATTTACTAAAT